TTGTCCTTAGCTTCGACGATCAGAGCATCGCCCTTACTTCGCTCCCGACGAGTCCTGGGTATCTCCTTCTTCTGTTCAGCTTTCTTCTTCATGTCTTTTTCCTTCCGTTTTTTCCACTTCTCCTTTGGCTTCTCGACGGTACGCCAGCCTTCCTCCTTGTTGTCTTCTTTGTCGTTCTTGACTTTTTTCAACTCCTCTTCCTCTCCTGGAGTTTCCCTTTTCCTCTTCTCCGAGCGTGGATTTCGAGGTCCCTTTGGCGTCTCCTGTATTTCAGCTGCTGCTTTCTCCTTGGCCTCGATCAGTGCCCTTTCGGCAGTTACGGACCTCGTCCTCAGCGCATCCTGTTCACGTTCGGCAGCAATAATGGCGGATTTGATGCCCGTCACCATTTCCTTTATTGCCTTGTGGACGTTGCTCTTATCCTTGATGAAGTCATGGAGTTCATTGATCCTCCTCCTGACCTCCATCAATTTGGTCTTCCCAAGCTGCAATCCTTCTTGGGGTGTGCTACTGCTGGATTTCGGTGTGAACACCTGGCTTAGCATAAGACCTAGCTCTCCTTGGTGTCCTTGCTGCTCACCTTGGGGCTTACTGCTGCTGTTGGAACTCGCTGTTGCCTCCAGGTTCAACACTGGTGATCTCTGCAATATCCCGCTCCTTGCGAACACGTTCGCTCCTCCGTTTTCAATTTCTGGCGTCTTGCCGTCGTCCTTCATATTTTTTTGGGTTTTCTCATTTTCTTCTTTTTTGTTTTTTTCTCCGTTTTTCTCCATTCTGTTGGGTCCCCCCTCCGGGCCGCTATCTCCACTCGTTGTATGTAGTCGCCTATCGTGATCCCATGGTTATCTATGCAAGCAGGGAGGCCATGCTAGGGTTGACACGGTCCTTCATGGGGGCCGTGTTCAGAGCCAGATCGGCGTAAGTCAGGAATGTTACATCTGAGTCTACTACTCACCAATCACCAATTGGTGACGAGTTTTGAACGTATCCGGAGGCCTGCCAAGGTTTTACCGGGACGGGGGCAGCCGCACTATTAGCCCACTCGCCATTTCAAGAAGGTGTCACCCTTCTTTACTAAGGGAGCAGAATAGCAGGACTGTCAGCCCTGTAGCGTGGTATCCAATCCATTGTGCCGTGTCGTGTCCATAGTTCCATGCCGTATCCAGTATGCCGTAATAAGGATCTTACTGGCGTCGATCCTAATGTGCCGGTTGGCACTCCTGCGGGTTGACGAAGCATTTCCTCGATCGCCGTGTTATGGTTACCGCGCCAGTGTTCGCGTCGCACCCCCTCACTTTGCTATTGTCAGAAGGACAACATTGCCCAGGCTACACCACGGGGAGGTGTGAGGTAGGAACTTGTGAGGACCAGAGATAGGAAAAACGCTCTTCCCAGGTTGTCAATTCACCATTTGTAGCCCATGTGTGTGTGTGTGTGTGTATGTGTATGTGTGTGTGTGTGTGTGTGTGTGTGTGTGTGTGGGGGGGGGGGGTAATGTAACCAATACTAATACCTTTCTCTCTGTTCTTTTATTCGTTTTCTATATCCCTTCACCATCAACCCATATCCCATCATCTTGGCGAGAGATGAGTTACTTGCATGGTGCATGCCCAAGTCGTACTACAGGATAATATGCTGAGCGTGGTTCTATCACAACAACCACGCAGGAACGCAAATCGATACAGCTGAAGAATAATGAGGTAAGTTCTACACAGTATTTTAAAGGAGCCAACTCTAAACAGGTAATAATAGCAATTAATAATCAAACAACCATAAAAAGGTATGAATGAATTTATTTATTTTAAATACAGTAATTACGCGATTTTGTCAGCCCCTCCGCGCTTCAGACTTTTTTTCTTTCAATAATCTAATTTTTTTCTCATTCATCGTTAAGAGGGATATTTAAAGTATACTTTGGTGCAATAGGTTCAAAAAGATTACCGAAAAAGGGCATGGGTTTTGTAGAACATTGGAATACATTTTCAAAAAAGGAGGCTGACGAAATCGGGACATTACTGTATTCCATTTACATTTACATGATTTATCACATATTTCCGGAGATCTTCGAGGTTGGAGCTTAGTTGCTTTTGTACATGGGCACGTCATTTGCCGGTTTCTCGCGAATCGGGACTCAGTTTGGAAAAACTAATAACACAAACAGGTAGAGGAATATTTCCTCTATGATTTGGTACAGTTTGTTTGCAGGATTGTTCTTTTGTTCGCGGGAGACCGGTTGTTGGCGTGTTTGTTTGCAGGGGCGATTGCGCCCAGATCTCGGGGTTCTCCGGATTTATGGTCGTAATCTAATACACACAGTTGATCACAATACGAGCCTAAAAGCTGCAGTGACCTTGTGAGCACCATAGCTCGAGTCGTCTGAAAGTATTGTGTATCGCATGGAGAGCCCAACCGAGATGCTAGCCTATTAAGACTGCAGTTGGTCAACTCTCGAAAAAAAAAAATTGAAATATTATCAGATTAATAGTTTACAAGATTTAAAAAAGTACCCAAACTCATATTTGAATGATTTTTTAAAAATAATGTTTATTCATATATTTTCGAGTATATTTTGTAAAAATAAACAACAAAACAATACATAGTTAAAATTACCATTGCAAATTTTGTCCTAGTCCGAGGAATCAAAGGAAGGTATTCGGTCCAACCTCGGGTCGACGGCAATTTCGGAACTCTCCTCTTGCTTCTATCGTTCAAAACGACGATAACAAAAGGAAAGCGGTTATGACGACGAGTGCTTTGGGAAACGTTCCCTTGATAACCCTAATAAATAAATACCATAAACGAATGATAACCCAAATTATTGAACTATTCCACAAATAGTTTGGATGATACCCGGAACACGTCGTTAAGCAAAATAACCACAACAATTTTATTAGGGAAGGCAATCCCAATACCACTCCATGGAAACGGCATTCATTACGAGGTCTTCCTGCTGGAGCTACTTTATTCTCCATGAGCTGACGATATAGAATCTACAAAAACAAAAATACAGCCTTTGAAATACAACCATTGCATACCACAAAAGTGGGACACTCACCATAGAAATATCCAGCAGAATGGTGAAGACAGAAAATCCTTGTCATCAGCACCGGTAAAGGAACGCCACCCACCACGGGAATTGACCACTACCCGAACGACCCGACCACGTACCTACGATGTAAAAACAAATTTAATCGATCCCTCGTTCGATCCTAAGAAAAACGAAATTCCAACTCACTTATCATTTCGTGTTGCAGTGGCAGAATCACCATCGATTGCCACTTATCATCACTGGAGGCAGCTTTCAAACACCGATTCCACCGTAAACTTCAATTTTTTTTTTTCAAAAATTCAATTTTGGCGGCAAATGAAGTGGGGTTCAGTGATCGGTTTAGTGATGCTAAAAACATTACTATGAAGAGGTATGTTTGACAGTTGAACAACTTTTATATAAATATAATGCACTTTTAAAATAACAAGTCAGAAGTGAAAGAAAAACTTTCAAACCAAAGATATAACCAACAATCAATACGAAACTAACGATTTTAAATTGGCTCACCACTTTAGTAGCCTATTGGTCCCAAGCAAACGATTAACGTACCCTATTCTAGTTGAAATTCTATTACTACACTATGTTTGTTTTGATTCGCTATGAAAGTTTGACAGATAACATCAGGGGTGTGTGGATTCATGCAGAACATGCAGGGGTGAGTGAAATAGCTTGGGACTGCTTGGGACCGTTGTTCTGGTACTGAGTGAGCCAAAAATAATAATGATTTTCTTCGGGACCCAGTGGTCTTAGAGTTACCTCTATGATATAACTTTCATTTTGAAAAAGCAAAGTAAATAAATATTATTATTCCCACAGCCTGTGAACTATAAGTATTGCATTCATTACTGACAATATTTTAGTAATTTTAGACGTAAAACATTTCTTCTCTTTATTTAGTACATTGTGGTTTTTATAAGTTCTACCAAGCACTTGTTTGAACATTTTTCAGGTTCTATAATTCAGTGCCAACATTTCAAAGGGGCGTAATTGCATTTGTAAACAATGGCTTTAGCCGTCGATTTCTCGTGAATAAAAGCTCACTCATGAAAAATAATAACACCAGCAGGTAGCGAAATGTAGCATTGTCATTTTGTCATACCAGTTAGCATTGTCATTTTGGAGAGGTAAGATTTCATTCGCGAGAAATTGACGGCTAAAGTCATTGTTTACAAAAGCAATTACGCCCCTTTGAAATGTTGGCACTGAATTGTTTTTGTCTCCCAGAAGCTCCGTTATCGACATGAAATTTTTCACTTCTGAATGAAAGTCATCCGATGCTAACGCAAAAATATCTGCACGGAGAAAAAATAATACCCAAAATTTGAGTTCTTTTTACTTAATATTGACTTCAGCCTCTCACTTGCACTCGTTATTGTTGTCAAAAAAGGAACGAGAGATTCGACCCAACGATATAGTTCAGCCCAATAAGTTACTTTTGAGTAAATTGCATATTCTCAAATTAACGTGAATTAAACTTAATTTTGGGTAGAATATACTTAAGAGTAGGTCTTTTTTTTTTGCTGGTGTTAAATGGAAACTACTATATGCAATTTACTCAAATTTGGGTTATTGGGCTGAACCCCATAATTGAGGGAAAAGTGCTTAATTTTGGGTAGTTTTTCATCTCCGTGTGGTTGCCGTTTAATTTCACGAAAAATAAATTACAAACAGTGCTGCTTGTTCGCAACATTTTCTCTTGGCGGGACGCTTATTAGAAGCAAGGTGACTCTGACCGGTTGGTGCTTACCACCATGAGTGAGTTTCGTTTTCAGTGTTGGGTTTCATCGTCGGTTCATTATTACGCCTAAGCTGTTGATTCCCAACACTATTCAGCATTGGCGTTAGTAATGATCAAAAGAAAACGACATTATCGGATGCGCTTGTTTTGATGTTTATAAAAGCAACAAAAGACGAGACAGGGCGGAGTGATTCATCAAAAGCATTCTTTTTTCATTCAAGAATCGAAAATCGAAAATCCTGTTGGCTAGTTTTGTTTGGATGGTTTAGTTAGCAACCAATAATTTTATGGTTAAGAAATTCAGTATTAATGTATGTTCATTCAGTTAGATATCTAGCTGCAATCAAACAAATGCCATATATCTGACGATTTCAAACACATAATGGCTGAAGGTGGTATCGAGACCCCCGTTGCCCCGGAATGGCTCGTGAAACTAGAAAGTAGAAGAGAGCAAATAAAAGCCAAGCTCGGCCATGAAAGTGGGAATGGAGCGCCCTGTGTTATTTGTGGTAATGCTTTATTTAATTTATTGCAATAATTTTCTATAGGATCTATTACTTAACTTACAGGCATCAAATGTCCCGGTTTGGATTTGCATTTTTGGCGAAAGGTTTGCCGCAACTGCAAATGCCGCAAAGAGCAACACGATTGCAAAGATGATGATGTCACCGGATGGGCTCAATTTGAAATCCTCGGAGCAATCCGTTCGAAGCCGGCATGTAAGTTAAAAAAGTTATTATTATATAAAATCTTCGGTGAGATCGAGATGTACCCTTCCTTTATGCCTAGGTAGTTCAAACTAGAGCATGGCATAAAAAAGATGCTCGAATAAAACTCTCTTGTCGTAATGTTGAGCACTGTAACAACACGCGAACTCGATCCAAATTATTCACAAACTTTCTTATGAACTGCGTAAAATCCTAAGTCAAGTACTTAAGAGCACAAATTTTTTATTGTATTTCAGAAATTTTGTATGGGAATTCCGGTTTTTAGATAAATTTTTATTAAGTTTCGTAAATCACAATAATTTTTTTTTTGTAAGTTTCGTAAGTACAAAAAAAAAGCTGAAAATCGATTAAAAAATAATGTAAAAAAACACCCATATATGTTTTGATCTCCTGTCGTTGCGTTAGTTTCTACGTTGAAGCTCATAGGAAACTGTGTTGGTTATTTAATTTTATTTTTTTTAAATTCTGTTCCTCGCATCGACGTGCTGCGAACAAAGTCCAAAAACGTGTTTATAAAAACTATATCCTGAAGCATGAATTTTCTTTTCTCAACCAAAATTTTGTATTTTTACGGATTCCTGCACTGCATGTACGAGAAATTCATGGTCTAAATCGATTAACATGATGTTGCTTCTTCTTTTTTTTAAATTACGAGTTTGGTTTGTTAATAGTATCTATACGTTCGCAGTTAGTATGTCTAATTCTAACATTTTTTTTGCAGACATCAAAATATCTGAGCTCACAGACAAACCCGTGGAATTAGATTGGATTCCACCAAACGTGACTCCAGAGCTGGCTTCGGACTATATGTCCAAGCTGGGACAGCAAAACATTCCATTCGCTGGTAGCGAAGCAGCTGAAAAGCGTAAACAACAACTAGAGTACCAAGTTCCCCCGCACGATCTGGACGCCAGTTTATGTCACAACTTGTCCGAAAATGAGGTTGCCCAACTAGTGCAATATGTTGAGAAGATTAAGAAAAATTGTGTAGGACAGGGCAACGTTGTAAGGATCGGTGATAATATCAACTACTTAGTGCCTGCAAGTAAGCACCAATTTGCTGTACCAATTATCGAAACAAGACAAAAAGATAAACTCATAACACAAATGTTGCACTCGGAACCGATAAGAACTGTGCTTTCCGGAAGATCTATTGTGCCCAGTAATAGTATATGTCTTCAGAAAGACTCAATGGAAGCAGATTTCAACGCCAGTCCGCACTTGTCCGACAAGATGAAGTATAAGTTGAAACTAATGAAGCTTAATTCGGAAGCAATCAGAACTGCCGTGGACAATGGACCAGAAGTTGACCAGATTCTTAAAGCTTTGAAAGCTCAAAGGATACCTTTCCAAGAAAATTGCAACATCCTTGGACCATTAGATCGATTTAGGCAAGAGTACTTAACAAATCCTAAATTTCAAACCGAGATTGATAAGTACCTTGCTGTTCCAATTTCAACGAAACCACAGCCAACGGAAAGTAAATTCAACTCGCCACTACCTCTGAGGCATTTTGCACGAAACGATCTATTGCAACAGCAGGAAACTCCGGCAAGAAAATTAAAGTTTGACAAAAATCAGCATCCACCGTTTTCTAACGCATGTTTAGCAGCTATCAAAAACGATCAAGTGTTAGCCAATATTCTCAATTCGGAACCACTTAGAACCGGTCTGCACGCTCCAGTGTATGGATCAGCATTAGTTATCTCTCGTGAACCTATGTTTCCGGATTTTATTAGCAGTCCTTTTCTGTCACCGGCTACAAAAGCTCAACTTGAGAGAATAAAAATCAATACCCAAGTCATCCAGAGCGCAGTCTTACATGGCCCGTTCTATGATGAAATTCTCTCAAAATTGGACAGCTATGGTATCAACTACGCACAAGATAATTTTTTGCAGCCGATCGATGAGTTCCGTAATGAGTTTCTTAGCTACGATAGTGACAACGATTTCCAGAAGGAAATAGTAGATTTCGTTAAAAATTCCAATCTCTCTTCGTTTGCTGTAAGTGCAGCGCAAATTCCAGAAATAGCAGAAGCTAGGAAAACAGCTCAAAACACAAACCAGTTACTTTCTGCAATACTCTCAACTCCGAGCTTACAAAATGCACTTAGATCTGGGCAGCAAATGGACATTCCACTTCAAATCGCTAACGTACCTATGAGTAGCCAATTATTAAACATTCAAAAAATGTCAACTCCCGTCCTGGAAAAGCTAAGCAACATGAAAATTGATCAGCAAGCTCTTGAAAGCGCCGTCGTCTGTGGTCCATTGTATGACAAATTGTTCCATAAATTAGACAAAAATGGTGTCAACTACGCTAGCGAACCGCTGCTAGGCCCAATCGCACAATTTCGCAGTGAATATCTAAACGACGATAATTTTAGAAAAGAACTTATAAGGTACGTCACTCATCCTGAGCCGTGTCTTTTTGAAACAGCCACCATTGAAGAAATAGTACCAGATGAACATCATGTTGCAAAACAGTTATCTGGTATGCACATATCTCATAGTGATGATTCCGGATTTGGGTCCGTCCCTCCAACGCCAAACTACTCTACTTACCCAGGAGTACTCAGTCCCTCAGATAATTTTGAACTTCAAGCCAGAGATGGCGTTCTTCTGTCTGTACAAGAAATGAACATGTATCCTGAAGTGCGTCCAGATCAAATAGAACGTCAGGTAATCCAAAACGATGGTAATACCGATCAAGCTACGTCCTCTCACAATCTGCCGCAACAATCTCCAGAATTCATCACATGTAGTGCGTGTCAGCAAACTATTTTGTTTGGTGAAGTAGTCGTAAAAGCCGAACGGGCCGGGAAAAGTGCAGCTTGGCATCCTCAGTGCTTCAAATGTCACAAATGTGACGAATTGCTAGCCGATTTGGTATACTTTTTCCACGGTGGCCAGGTATACTGCGCACGAGATCTAGCAAATATTTTGAAAATTCCACGTTGTTCCGCATGCGATGAGCTGATCTTCACCAAGGAATATACTGCTGCTGAAGGGGCTACATTTCACATCAAACACTTCTGTTGCTATCATTGTGATGCTCCTCTCGCTGGTCAACAGTATGTTCCCGATGAAAAATCTAATATGCCGCTGTGCTTGAACTGCTATGATACATTTTTCGCCAAAGCGTGCCACTACTGCCATGATACGATCGGTCCAGCCGAACAAGGCGTTGCGTGGGGTAATATTCATTGGCATGGATCATGTTTTCTTTGCAGTGGAGTAGGATGCGGCAAATCACTCATCGGTGGTCGGTTCTGTGTGAAAAATGATATGCCTTTTTGCAGTCCACAGTGCTTAAGGAGCGTGATATCTTAAACAACAATGATTCGCTATCTTTTATTAAATATTAAGACCATGATAAAATGTACGTGCTATTTTGAGCATAATAGGCAGTGATAATCTACTTTTAAAAGTGTCCGCATTTCCAGTCTTTACGGTACCTTTGATTTGCTGTAATATTAATTTACATCGATTTGAGGGAAATTTCAGGACGGAACTACTAATAATGCTGACTTTGTGTACCTCCATCAGGTTTCCAACTACCGCCCAGACAAAATATATGGTCGGTGTGAAGTCAGATCGGACTACGTGACATTTTTTTGATTTCAAGTAAAATCAATTTAAAGTTGGCTGTGTAGCATTGATTGTTATGTAATTAGACAACCCTTTTGGCTGTTTTCCCTCAACATTTACCAAATCTGACAAAAAGTTAGATGTAGCAGAGGAAATTAAAGATTCAATTCTATCATTATCTCATATTATTTTTAATTTTGCTACTTAGTCCCTTCTGACTTAACGCCGACCGTATAGGCTTACTGGATGTAATCTCCGTCTATGCTCCTATTGTTGACCTAATGCTAAAACAGAATGCATCGCAAAATTTCGTTAGCATATAATAATCAATCCTGAGTTCAATGGATAGGAACATAAACAAAAATTATATCCCGTTGCCCTGCCTCCCGTGTTTTCTCTTGGTAGTTAACAATTGTAGTATACAAATGAGTAACTCATTTATTTGAAGTAACGATGTACAAGCATGTTCAAGATGAAAATATTTTCAAAATATATGCCACGCGCACATTTAACGGGCTTAGTAGCTTTATTATTAAGATATGATGACATAAATGGTATCAAGTATTAGATGATTACACACGAGATTACACACTGGCCACAGACAAACACGTAACTCTTCATTCTTAATAATTGTACACGCATTGAACTGCCCATAAAAGCACGTCCAATTGAAACATGTTTAGTTCGCGAATTACCTACCACCAGTGCACAGTGGGGAAGAAGCGAACCAATACAACGCCACTGTATAGGCACAAACGAAGTGACAGACGACTAACTGGCGAAGAAATGCGTTAAAGTAATTGGCAAATCAAAGTTGGCACTCGTTGAAAATAGAAGAACTATGAAAGTGATGATGGTTTCAAAATTTTCCACGGGGAGGTATACGAGTGCAATCTTAAAATGCTTTTATTTTGCAAATGGAGCATTTTATTTTAATCTACACTAGTTCACAGCATATTTTAACTTTGTACGCTGATGGTCATTAAGAGATGAACTAGCCTATGGCTAAAAATCTCTCTAAAAAAGAAAAAAAAAGCTGATGGTCATTTCCCATGTAAAATCGTGTGCTGAATCCAAAAATGTAGTCCAAAAAATCTCAGTAGGATAGTTTTGGAAATATAGCTAAAAAATGAAATCTCACTTTAATCATCACAGAATCATTCGTCAAAGGTTCAAGGTCATTTTTTTTTTTTTTTTAAGCTTCGCTTTTACTATGCTCCAATTGGTGGGCGTTGGCCAGATTTGGATTTTTCAGATATAATCCTAAATAGGACCTAGATTATTTAATACTCTAGTAACCTCAAGTCCGTGCTCTGTCACAATGTTTCATTGTGATTAATCAACACTCAAAGGGGTAAAATATCAAATTTGGGGTGAATTTGAAAGAAAGGGAACTTGGAGTGTAGAGCGCACTGCCCACTGGACGATTCTGAAGCCTGGCCAAGTGAGTGGGGTATGGGTTTATTTGATTGAACGTCATTTCCAATGTATATATTGATACATTCAAACCATTGGCATTTGAGATAAGACAGAGATAGGATGCGGAGGGCCCGCTTAGGGGAAGCGTAACCTATATGGTTTCCATTTATTAAATAGTTCAGATAGGCTGGAAATGACAGGTTCATAGTGAGAAAATGTACCATATGGGGCCCGTTCACTGATCAAAATCAGATTCACATCGTCAGACCCTGCCCTAGAATAAGGGGATTGACGATGTCTTGTCAAGTTTTATTTTGAATTTGCGTTTTGCATTTAATACTCTAGTAAACCTCGCGTCCGTGCTCATTCACAACAGTGTGATGTGTCAATACTCATATATGTCTTAGACCAGTTCCAGATTAGTTTGCTATTAATATCTTCTGCATCGCAGTTCGCGATAGATTTCTAAATATGGGTTCTCTTTTCCGACCATAATAGTGTGAGGGAAGGGGGTGAGTTAAACGTTGCGATATGAGAATAGATGCAAATAAATAGGGAAGACAACACCATGACCCAAATAAGTAACCAATGCATGCGGCTCACACTAAACTTGTTCTATTTCTTTCTTTCTTCCTATCATGTACTAATATTAACTGCCTGAGGACACATGGGAACACGAGCAGAAGTTCAATAGGAGAAAAGTAACAAGAAAATTCGAACAAGAAAAGAAGAATTAAACTTGCACCGGCAAGAGGAAGCAGACAGAAAGGATCATGCCGGTTGGAGACAGCCAATGTATACTGGACGAAGCTTGTATCTAGGAAAAGCCGTATGTGCAGAAAACCGTAAGTAGGATAAGAATCGTAAAAGGTGTGTGCTTGCTTGATAAGATCCTAACTTTACTTTAAATACACGGTAGGAATCGAATATCCATTTATGATTAAGGTTTTTCCCCATTTTTCAGTGGGAGTGGCAATACTCATTGATGAGTGATTTATCGTAACTGTTAGCAACTAATGATTAATTGATTTACCTATTTTAGAATTACCTATACTTCACATCAGAACCTCATTTCCTTCAATTACTACTCCGTCGCAGCACACACCTTATATGGATCGTTAACCTTTATTTAGTTTCAGCATTTTCGACATTATAATCAAAGGGTGAGTTTTAAAAGTATAATTACCATGCATATAGATAAGTTAATGTACCAGAACCTGGACGGACACGAGCCTACCCAGGGGAGGACCCGGATACGACCACCCATGTGTGTCTAGAGTATCGCACGAGCTGACGAGTGCAACGGGAAGGACAGTAGGTGTATAGACTAGGGGGTTGGTCCCTAGATAAGCCTTCTTAGCGGAAGGCACAGCCTATGCACTGAACAATTACAATTACAATTACTTTTACTATGCTCCAATAGATTCAAAGGAAAGGTAACTGATGTCTTTTTATTTAAGAAGATAACTGTTCTGGATTTTTATGCTAACTAATATCATGTTTAAGGATTCATTTCCTCCAAATTTTATTCTATACCAGTGCTTTGGGTTAAATATTCTTACTAGAGTTTACCTCCGATCACAACTTCGAGGTCTTTGAAATTTGACATGTGATAACGTGCAAGATGCGCTATACTTTGGAACTTGGGGGTACTCCAGCTCAACGCTACAAAACATTATTAACCGAGACTAAACTGGTCGGTGGTGCTTGGACAATGTTGTCGAATCAACAAACTGAAGAGAAGACTGCCGAAACATCTTTAATACACCGATAATGGAAACGCTCCACCAACCCACTGGCATCAAGCGATAGAATAAGCGGTTCCTAAGATGGCGGATAAGTGAAAAAAATACAACCATCTTAGAAACCAACAAAAAAAAAGACAATGAACTGACATCAAGGATAAGTTTTTTCGTTTTGTGCATGAAAAATAAAATTGGTAAGTTAACGACTATAACTCGTAACGTGGGTAGATCACCTTTTCGTGGTACGTTACGGGATGTAAGATCTACCACCGATTCCTAGTCCTGACTACTTCAAACTAGGGGAACAGGATTTTTCAGTAATCTAAGGAACACATCTTAGTCCTTGTTACTTTTTATGCCTTGTTGATAGTGACAAGACTCGGCTTTGCTCACCGAGGATGATCTTGAAACAAAGAAAAATGAGTTAGTTAGTCTTCATCTATGTGATTCCTAATCTTCTTTTCGTTGTTCCCTAGTTTGAAGTGGTTAAGACTAAAGAGCCTGAATTTATAAAGAGACGACTTGTCAAAATTGGAACAATCGATTATCTGTCAAAGTCATAGGAAAAGTTATTCCAATCGAGCAGAAGACCTGTCAAATGGAAAAGATGTCGTCTCTTTATAAATACAGGCTCTTTAGTTAAGACTATTCCGCCGGGATGTTCTGAGGCATAACATCTCTGATCACGCCTTCCTTCGGATGGGAAGTAAAGCCGGTTCATGAGTTGATGGGTCGATAGGTAGGGTCCAGGTGTGGGAGCTGCCTTCCTGGCACGTCGGTAGCATTGGTGCTCAGCACGGAAAACAAGATCGACGGAAAAAAAAAAAAAAAAAACAGTTAAGACTAGGGTTCTGATGCATGGTCATTATCGGTGTCATTCCTTAATTTTGCTGCTAAGGAATCCAATTTTGACTGACAAAGGGGCGCGCCTTTGGAGGGTGTTTCAACATTTACTGGTCGCAGTGGTGTTACGTCCCGAACAAAGGAAAAAAAAATAACGACTATAACTTAATTTAATTTAAAACGTCAAGAGCAGGCATACCAAAAGTACTGCCTCATGACAGTATTCCAACGGCTGTCGCTTTCTTTTTTCTACGACAGCCTTGAAATTGAGCTATAAGCGACAGCCCACAGTGAGGCTGTTATACGACATGCAACGTTGCCGTCTTGTGCAGTACACGACAGCTCGTTCTTAGGCATGTATTCTGTTCGTTCGGCTATGACAGCCTCGGATGGTCATTCGTAACGTTCCTCGTACATACAAATACAACAAGCAGTCCGTCAAACTGCCGATTCGTTGCTGCTGCCTTTGAAACTTTGATTGTATATCGTAAGACTGCTTCTACATTACCAGTGTGACGCCGAAGCTCGTTCGGTTGCTATCACGTTTGTGCTGCCCATTTCAAAATTTTCATCCGATATTTTTTAAAAAGGTATGGTCTTGAGCAAATCAGACATTCCGACATTCCAGCGAAAAATATAAGCCTACCCGACACCAACCTGACTTCTACCAAACCCCAACCCGACGTTGGTCCGACATTGACCCGACATAAACACAGAATTTACCCGACATCAACCCAACAGTTGGCCGACGTCGATCATAAATTGACCTTACACTGATCCGACATCGGGCCGACATGTCTGTTCGGGATCATTATTTTGGGTTTCTTCCATGCTCCACTGCCGTATATCAATTGTATATTATCTCTTTCTTTGGTATGGCCACAACAATAAACAAATGCAGTAAAAGCAGCGTATCATAGCAAAAAATAAGGAACATTACATGACATTTAAACCATTTTAAAATTACATCGTTTTAAAATATGTTATAATTTAATCGTACTTTGAAAATCATGCACAATAATTTTCGCCTACAGTGTATTATTCTTCACGCCATGTAAAAACTTATTGAAGAACATCGAATTTTCAACGATAAAACCTATACATGCTCGTGTAAATTTAAATCAACAAACATTGAGAAAGCTAATATGGCGGACGGACCGATTATTCGATCAGTTTTTTCTCCACCAGGTCACATCCGAGGTCACTTCATTAGTGGAGAATGTCGGAAAAAAGTATTGTAAGTTTTGTACGCTCAGTTTTGGTTATGTGGAACGATTTATCGTGCATAAGCGCGTCCACAAATATAAAATGAATGACAGACAAAGTATTTATTAAAGCGGTTTTATACAGAAAGAACTTTTAGTTCTTTCAGAAAATCAAAAATGTGGATATGAAAAAATAGAAAAGAAAAAAAAAACATTCAAAAATGCGCTCGTGGTCTAACTAGAGGTTCATTCATCTCCTGACTCATCGTTATGATGCAGCGGTGGAAGTGTAGGGTATGTACTGTGTCGTAAAGGCGGGTTATTCCGCGTGGGTGATAATTCCGCGTACTTGACAATCCGTTCGATTTTATGCAAATTGCTCATTTTATGTGCATGGAAATTCGTGTAAAATTACAAAATAATTTTAACTGAGTAATGTCAGCTCATGATAATGATAATGATAATTTTGTCCTTTTTGGCAAGTAATATTACAACATATTTGCGACACGATTGACGTGCATCCACTTTGATGTGATATTAAAATTATTGTTGGCTGTGCATTTGACCAGGACAATATAATTACAATAGGGTTAATTGTCAACAATATAATCTTTTGTATTTGATTGATGTTTTATTGTAATGTTATGGTTATTTTTATCTGGGTTCTCTTGTAACAGAGTCAACTCACGAAATCTTTTTGCAAAACTGAACATTACTAACGTGGCAAAAGAACGTAAGAATTCCATTAGAACTCTTATACATTTTAGCCACAAGAAATAGTATTATGAAAAATAATGTTGACAAAAAAATAATAAAACGAAGCAGACTGGAACCGAACCATGAAAGTTGACATTACGGGGCCTGTGTGTTGACCGCTCGTCTTTCAATGCGTGGAAAAATGAAATGGTTAAAGGCGTACAAGAGGTACCTCATGTTGGACGAAAATCATCCATAAGGCACGCTTATGAAATGCATGTGTTGTTCATAAGTCAAGAAATTCTTAAGTTTATTTGGCTCAGTGTAGCGTAAAAATCTGGATTGAAACACTATTCTTAAAAACATAAAACCCAAATATACGATTTTGGTGTTGTTAAAGCAATGCGAAGTGATTTCAATACACTCCACTATAAAAACGTTTGTCAGCTCCACATTTAGATAGTCCGTTTGGTTGTGCTTCGCCAGTCTGTGTTTACTATACCGTCTCTATCTAAAGCCAACATTAAATGATTGATTTAATGTCTCCGTTGGTTTTTTACAACTCCTTATAATAGATTATCACGTAGATGTTTTTATTATTCTAGAAAGATTTTGTTCATAGGAACTTTAAGAAAAATTTTGTTAGTGATGTCTCTGAAAATATAACCAAATGTATCTTCATAGGCTCCGCACAACTCCGTGAACATTAGTCGCCAATTTTCATTTAAGATCCTATTCATAGTATCACCTAAAATGAAACAGAACATATTATAAAAAGCTTCAGGCAACTGTGAAATGTTCATAATTTACCTAATACTTTTTCACCATTGAACAGATTACCGAAGTGCAGCGACATAAATTGGGGCTCTTCAAATTTCACATTGTATTTTTTTATGCGCATGTATGTTTCATCTCTACTTTTTACCAGCTCACCAAATGCTTCGTGTTTTGTTCGGAGTCCATGAATCGTTACATTTGAGATACCTTGACCAACCACTGGCAACAACAAAACACGTCCGTCCATTTTGTAATCTCCGTAAAACTCTAAAAAAGGGGTCACAGCTTCGGCTTTCATGATGTAGTTATCGTTATCGAATCTGAAATTATTCAATATTCACATAAAACCAGTACGAATGCATTACTAATGCGTACTTGAACATGGTTAAAGATGAATCCGCTAAGTGGCTCAATCTGACATTTTTAAAGTCCTGTTTGAGATTAATCGAGGACTGGGATCCGTGTTCTATCGACAGCGCGTTAATTGTTAGAGGGTCAATGGGAAGAATTCCTAACTCGGGCATACCGTTCTTCATATACTTTAGAGCTCCATTAATAGCATTGATCGTACAGGCCGAATCTTTCCGCTTGCACCGTTGAAATGAAGAAGCTGTTGGTTTGAACAATGTTATGTTTTAATATTTTAATGCTTGACAATAAAAATGAAATTTTTTTTAAGTGAACTAGATATTTATAAATGTAAAATTGGCCAATTTTTTTTTTTTGACGTAGAACTACGTCTTTGTCGACTATACTGAGGTGCAAATCAAAAAATATGTGTGGTGAAATAGTGTTAGGTTTTGAACGCTTGTAACTTTGTCATTTATAGATGAAATTAAAATCCAAATACGCCAATCGATAGGATATAACTTAACGAATCTGCTAAAATAAATACTTTTCCTATTTCTAATAAAAAAAAAACTTTAGAAAAATGCACAAATGTAATTTTATCACTGTTTTCATGAACTAAACGTTTTCCCCAAACCCAGTCATCATAAACGAATACCAATTGGTTGCACATCATTCTGCTTGAACCTGAAAAGATATAAAACAGCGCTGCTGTCGTGCCACTGCTCATTACCGCTTCGGACGGCGTGGCACTTGGTCCTGCAGCAACCAGGACCAAGTCAGCGGATAAAAGATGGATCACGGCGTGACCACCAAATGGGAAATTATGTATGTAAATCCCCCCCCCCCCTCCCCTTATGTATGTAAACCCCCCCCTAAAAAACAACAACAACCCGGAAAAGACATGGTATTTGACGATCACTTTTTCCGGGAAATAAATTTTAAGCAAAACCACAATTATTAATATAAACAAAAGTTTTTCCGTTAATTCCCGCACCAAAACTTTCAAATTTCTGAAAAAAAAAATTTAAGGCATATGCGATGATATTATGTTGGTGAATTACACACAACTGACTGTAAAACATATCTGGTACCTCTATATATGCAATTAGATTATCATCCAAAGTCCATCCATTTTTACATAATCTGCACAAAACAAACTTTCTGCCCTACCCCATTCATAAAAATGGCGGGAAATCCTGTCAGGTTCAATTAACATCGTTCTGCTTGAACCTGAAAAGATATAAAACAGCGCTGCTGTCGTGCCACTGCTTATTCACTGCCTGTGACTGTTGAGCAGTACAGTCGACGTTTCTTCTTTCGCTCTCTTCGTTCGTTCGATTGCGTTGTTCCGTTTTTTTTTCTCGCGTTGAATAGTGATGCTCTCGCTGACCCAGCCATGAGTAAAAAATCGCGTGGTGGCACGAGTGCCGGCAATCCCGGGAAACGGTCTAGGCCTGAAGACAACAGTGACAGTGCGACCAACAATCAATACGAAACTATCGATTTGAAATTGGCTCACTACTTGACTAGCCTATTGGTCCCAAGCAAACGATTAACGTATCCCATTCTTGTCGGAATTCTAGTACACTATGTTTGTTTTGATTCGCTATGAAAGTTTGACACACAGAATGAGGGGTTAGTGGATTTTTCTATGTTTCGAGGGGTGAATCGATTAGCTTGAGACCGAAGATAGTACCAGAGCTGAGCCAAAAAGTGGAGCACGTTTCTTCGGGACCTAAAGGGTGATACGGTCAAAATTTGGTCAATATCAACTTGACGTATTTCTTTCAATTTTGCATTTAAAAAACCTGAACACCCCTCATTTTGAAGGTGTGTGTGTGTAGAATGTTGCTCCTATTTTGATTTTGGAATTCACTCTTCAGTTGTCAAAATGCCGTCCAAGCAAGAAGAGCAGCGTATCAAAATTTTGCTAGCGCATCGCGAAAATCCGAGCTACTCGCACGCAAAGTTGGCAAAATCGCTAAAAGTTGCCAAACCAACCGTTACAAATGTAATTAAAGTGTTTGGGGAACGTTTGTCGACAGCCAGGAAGTCTGGATCGGGGGGAAATCGAAAACCGGAAGCCGCTGAGACGACAAAGAGAGTTGCCGGTAGTTTCAAGCGAAACCCTAACCTCTCTCTCCGAGATGCCGCAAATAAGCTGGGTGTATCGTCTACAACCGTGCATCGAGCCAAAAAACGAGCCGGACTATCGACTTACAAGAAGGTAGTGACTCCAAATCGCGATGATAACAAAATACGACGGCCAAAGCGCGATCCCGGAGGCTGTACACGACGATGCTGACGAAGTTTGACTGCGTGGTAATAGACGACGAAACCTACGTCAAAGCCGACTACAAGCAGCTTCCGGGACAGGAGTTTTATACGGCAAAAGGAAGGGGAAAGGTAGCAGATGTTTTCAAGCACATGAAACTGTCAAAGTTCGCAAAGAAATATCTGGTTTGGCAAGCCATCTGTACCTGTGGCTTGAAAAGCAGCATTTTCATAGCTTCCGGGACTGTCAACCAAGAAATTTACGTGAAAGAGTGTTTGAATAAACGTCTGCTGCCTTTCCTGAAGAAACACGGTTGTTCCGTACTGTTTTGGCCGGATTTGGCATCTTGCCATTACGGTAAAAAGGCCATGGAGTGGTACGCCGCCAACAACGTGCAGGTGGTTCCCAAGGACAAGAACCCTCCCAACACGCCAGAGCTCCGCCCAATTGAGAAATACTGGGCTATTGTCAAGCGGAACCTAAAGAAGACCAAAAAAACTGCTAAGGGCGAGCAGCAGTTCAAGGCAAACTGGCTTTCTGCGGCGAAGAAGGTGGACAAGGTGGCTGTACAAAATCTGATGGCAGGGGTCAAGCGTAAGGCCCGGCAATTCGGATTTGGAAAAGCGGAAGCCTAACTGAATATTTTTCCTGAATTTTATACTAATTGAACTTTTTGAATAAACGATTTCACCGATTTACACGCGTTTTCCCTTGACCAAATTTTGACCGTATCACCCTTTACTAGTCTTAGAGTTACCTCTATGGTGCGACTGCCGCGAAGAAGCTGCTCGACAACAATCGGTTCTCCGTTCTGAAGGACGGTGCAGAACAAGTGACGGTAACAACAGGACCAGAGAAAAAGGACAGAATGCCACCCTTCTACGTGAAAGGCTTCCCTCCCGGACTGCGGGAAAAACTAAACTTCTACAACACGAAGGGACAGCCCCTGGGCTAAACTGCCGTTAGGATGGACCGTCCCTACCGCAGTCCGAAATCAACTATGGTTCTTGGTTCACCGCAGCGGAACAAATGATCATCTTCCTCAAGATGTATGACATTGCCAACACCATCAAGAAGAAACCGACCAGCGCCAAGCTGTGGCTACCTTCATGCTCAGTTATGGACCGTGAAACCATCAAGATCGCCAACTGAAACGCTTGCTCGCTCAAGAGCAAGATCATCGAGTTCGTTGACTTCCTCAACAAACAAAACATCGACATTGCCGTTATCACCAAAACCCACCTGAAACCGGAGGTAAACATCTACCTTCCTGACTTCCGGCTTCTAAGACTTGATCGAACCAGCTCCGGGGGAGGAGGAGTGGACATTGCTGTAAGGAGAAACATCTGCTGTCAGCTTCTGCCGAGCTTCCAGCTGAAAACCATCGAAGCTTTAGGGGTAGAAGTCTCCACTCCTGTCGGCTCTATCACCATCATTGCGACCTACTGCCCCAAGCAAGTCACCATCAGGGACGGGTTGGCAGCAGACCTGCGAGGGGCAATATCAACAAACTCGACGGCGCGAAAAGTACATCATCGCTGGTGACCTGAACGGCAAACACCAGGCTTGGGGCAACAGTCGACGCAACCAAAACAGGCACCATTCTGAACGACGACCTGCAAGAGGCTCGCTACACCATATTAGCGCCAGACTGCCCCACCCGGTTGAGCCAGTCTGGCGTTCACTCCACGATAGATATCTTCATCAGCAAGATGGGAGACAACATCTCGCTACCTGTGATCCATCAGGAGCTGAGTTCGGACCACTATTCGATGGTACCCGAAGTAGGCTCATCCGTCAACCGAATCCAAGCTTCCCGACGCAACTACCATCGTGTCAGCTGGGAGCAGTTCCAACACTGTGTTGACTCCACTGTCGACTACGGTGTCCTTCCGGAGACGCCCGAAGACGTTGACCGGTGTCTACGTTCCATCGAAGAGGCGATATCCCGGGCCAGGGAACAACACGTGCCAGTGAGCAATACTCTGAACCTCATGAATCTGAGGTTGCTGAAAATGCAACCAATCTTCATCCGATTCCTAACATTTTTCCAGAGGAATCTGATATTACGGCTGACGAACTGTTGGTCTTTATCAAATCATCTAAAAACATGAAGGCCCCAGGTTTCGACAACATTCTGAATCTGGAACTCAAACACGTGAGTTCCAGATTCTACAACCATCTGGCACTGATTTTTAATCAGTGCCTCAGACTTGGCTACTTCCCCTCGTGTTGGAAGTCAGCTAAAGTCATACCCATCCGGAAACCTGGAAAGGATCCGTCCTCTCCTTCAAGTTATCGACCAATCAGTCTTCTCTCAGGGTTATCAAAACTGTTCGAAAGAGCAGTCTACCACCGGCTCCTAACATCTGCCGAACAAAAGAACATCTTACTCGAGGAACAGTTTGGTTTTCGGAAAGGTCGTTCAACCCGAGGGGGCCGACACATCTAAATCTCAATTCTAGATGCTCAAAAAATCTCACACTAGCGAATAAATCTTCGAAAAATCTTCTTTCATTTCTCGCATCTGCTTGCATCGCCCATCATCTTTTTGCAGGAACTCTTCAAAATCGTGATAAATCTTCTTTTTATCTACTGAGGTCCACCGCCTAGCTGGTATTCAGACACTGGAGTTACGGAGGGTTCAGATATTGCTGTAGACGATCCGATCAACAGATCGTTAGGGATCTCGCACGTTAGGTTAAGTTAGGTTAAGTAGGTAGAAAAACAAATTAATACAGTAAATTACCACAAATGACTGTAAAATATATCTATATATGCAATTGGATTACAGGGCTGGTAGCAATCACTGCTGTTAAAAATAGTGATTTTAGTGACCATTTTGATGAAATAAGTGACCAAATAGTGACTTATAGTTGTAAAAATAGTGACTAAAAGTGACCTAAAAGTAAATTTTAATGAATTTCTGAGGAGCTTCAGAGGAAAATTCCAAGGGCAGTCTGAGCATAATTTCATAAAGTTTG